GCTTTGACACGAGCGTTCCTAATAAATACACATTTATGAAAACATGACAATTATTAATCTACTTGTCCGTTTGTCTTTATGCCTCATTTCAAACATGTTGTTCTGCAGGGTTTGAAATCAAACAAAGAGCAAGATGTCAGAGTGAGTAATTTATCTGTTTCAGTAAATAAAGTTTTGGGCCTCCACTATATCTACTATATCTAATTGGAATAATTCAAGACTGTTGTGGTATTTGTACTGCATCCTATTTGGATCAGATCCCATTACAATAACTGGCCAGGAGCATGCACATTTTCATGTTTCCTATAAAAATAATTGATGTGAAGAATTTTCTAGACTCAGGTGTCTTTGCTAGTTCAGCTAAGGATACAAAGGCATTTACATAAATCACCTTTCCCTCATAACAAAGTGACATTTTCTCCTCAGGAAAAAGATGTCTTCAAGTCGCAAGCATCATCTGAAGGTAAACGATTCCCTCAGGTTTGTTTTGCACTGTTTTATCAAACAAGTTGAAGTGATGATCAAAAACAAAGGGGCTGCTAATAAAGGGTCCTTTTTTATTTAATTTTTCATATGTGACTGAATAAGTGAGCAGAAAGAGAACTTATTTCTTTTTGTTAGAGTTTGATGCTGTCCATTGCCAAAGGTTTACTGGAGGAGGAGGAGAGGGAGCGAGAGGAGGAGAGGAGCAGGTACATGTCTGAGAACTGTCCTGCTCTGTCTGTGCCCAGCAGCACGCAGGAGCTGCAGGTATGTCTGAAACCAACAACGCACAGGATGTAGACTACAGTATAAACACAGGTCGGTATGATACAGGATACTGTGTTTACAGGGTGACCTCAGAAGGATGTGTAGTGTATTTATCCACAGAACATGCAGTTGCAGTGTTTTCAGCTTTCTTGTAATTTACTTCTCCTTGATTTCATGTTTGTAAGCAAATAGCTGGTTAGATCAGCTGTAGCTGGTACTGCCAGTTTTTTGGTCCAGTGTACATTGTTTTGGTGTCAAGACATTTGGCCGATGTTTGTGTTCAGGAGCTGTGCAGGGAGATCCACCACAAGATCGATGTGGTTGATGAGGAGCGATACGACCTGGAGATGAAAGTCAACAAGTCTAACAAGGAGGTTGGTTCAATCAAACACCTGAATGTCTCAAACTCTGCAGAGCTTCAGTGGCTCGGTCATCACCTTTTCCTTTTCCATACTTGGCCATTAAAGATGATTTGGATTCTGATACTGACAAACTTGTGCTGTGCTCCAAACGTGGTTCAGATCCACACAAGTTCGTTTCAGAGTGCAGGGGGTGTTGCACAGTTTCCACAGATAGAGTATGTGATGCTGACATTTGGGCAGACATGAATGAAATGATTCAAAATACAATACTCGTTCCCTGACAGTGAGCCCACCACCTGTCCTCTACTGCCACCTGCAGGACGAACTAGCTCCAGCACCTGCATGTTGAAAAGTTGCACATAAAGTTTGAAATATTATTTTAACTGATATGGTTTTAAGAAAATTCTATTCAATGCCTTTGTAGTTTGCAGTGCTCCTCTCATGTTAGAACCAAAAGCCACATGTGTACACAGGTCTCTGATTTTGGCATTGATAACAACTTTGCGGTCCAAAGAAGGTGGAGACACCGTGTCGACAGATATTTTTGCTAGACTGCACTGGTTGTAATTGATCTAAACTTTATTTAGGCCCTGATTTTCTGTCGTTGTCTCGTATGGGCTTCACCTTCCAGATTGAAGACCTAAAAATCAAAGTACAGGACCTGATGGGCAAATTCAAGAAGCCCGTCCTGAAGAAAGTGCGTATGTCCGCTGATGCCATGCTGAAAGCTCTGCTGGGGTCCAAGCACACAGTCAACCTGGACCTGAGGGCCAACCTGAAGCAGGTCAAGAAGGAGGTTAAAGAGGAGGTGAGCAATATGTTCTAAAAAACAGTTTTTTATGAGTCAGCAGACACGGACGAGATGTAGCACAAGACAAATGGCCATAAGATGATGACCTCAGACATTTTCTACAGTGGGTGCAGTACACGTATACATAATATAAAACTGAAGTAAAGCAGAGTATTTCACAAGTTTGATCATTAGCTAGTGTTATTTTTCAAGCTTTTGTCATCTCATCAATCTGCATCTGACTCTGTCTCCAGTTTCAACAACTTTGTCTTTGCAGGTCTTCAGACCAGGGGAGGTACAGTAGGACCAGCAGACCAGTTACCGTGATTTAGTGAAACCGCTTGATCCAGCTCTGACCTCTGGCCATTTTTGTGTTTCAGGAACTGCGCGACGTTGGTGACTGGCGTAAAAACATCGAGGACAAGTCTGGCATGGACGGGAGAAAGAAGATGTTTGAGGCGGAGACTTAAAACGGTGGATCTGCCAAAAGCAGCAGCTCTTCATGTCTCCATTGGCTGTTCTGGACTGACTGAATCTGTCATTTAGATAGCACAAATTCATGTTTGCACCACCTTGTAATTTGCAGAAACCTCCACTGAATAAACAAGCGACACCTGCTGAAGAGGCCGTCCTGTAGTGTCTGCACGGAGCCGCAAGTGTGAAACGCATACCAAGCAAATATAACATGCACATACAATACTGTAAGTGTTAGTTACTGTCATCAGTAATAGTTACAAAGCTCAAGAGAGGAATCTGCTGCTGCTATTTGTTCCAAGTCCAGTTTGATGTGGTGCCTTGTTTCTTAGCAGGTGTCCATCAGTGCACCTGCTGGAATTTTGGTTGTTTGATCACATTTATCCTGTGATTTGGCCAAGCTACAAAATGAAACTCACGTAAATAATAAATATACACTGGGTATACAGTGGTTAGCTCTGTCACCTCAGAAGGTTTGGATTCGATCCTGGCGGCTGACCAGGGAATTTCCTGAGCAGAGTCTGCATGTTCTCCCTGTGCCTGTGTGGGTTTCCTCGGGTGCTCCGGCTTCCTCCCACAGTCCAAAGACATGCAGGTCAGGGGGACTGGTGACTCTAAACTGGCTGTAGGTGTGACTGGCAGTGATTGTCTGTCTCTGTGTGTCAGCCCTGTGATAGACCGATGACCTGACCACATGAATGGATGCAGCTTCTCAGTATCTTGTGTGGAAGTTAAAGAGCAGTAAACATAATCCTGCAGAGAACTAAAGGCAGTGGTTTTTGACTGTCGGTTGAGGCAGAAGGCCGCCCACCAAGAGCCAGGGTCTGTCAGAGGTTTCTTCTGTTAAAGGGAGTTTTTCCTCCCCACTGTCGCCAAGTGCTGCTCAGGGGGGATTTGTTGGGGTTTCCTCTATAATAATAATAATAAGGTCTAGACCTGACTTTTGTTGTGATTTGGCACTGTACAAATAAAACTGAATTGAAATTGAATTATGATGTGCAAAGCACCTAATGGTGTCAAACCGAGTCAAAGCAACAGGTGTCAGCACATCCTGGTGTCACATGGCGAGACAGACACATGTGACGCCCCTGGTGACATACTGGAGACTTGCATGTTCACAGAGGACTGGCTCTGTTGCTTGGGGAGCAGAATTTTTCCAGTTCACTCAGGAACAGATCTGAGGTAAGTGTTGTTACAGTCACCTTTGTACCTGAGTTTACATCAACATGATGCCATCTGTCTGGTCTTACAGTGTTCTTCTTACATTTCAGGCATCTAAGCGACCCTCATCCAGATCACTGGGCTCCAAAAGCACACTGTGAGTTCAACTTCCTTCAGTCTTTTTAAAAAGCAATCTGTTGTACAAACAGAGAAAACTAAATTGAAAGGTTCGGCAGCCGCTTTGATTTAGGGGTCTTCATACGGGGACAAACACTAGAGAAGCGTTGATGTTTTCTGATATTGTCGATGTTTTGGTGGGCGACAGTGATGATGATTATGAGTAATGATACTAACTGTGCCAGATCTTTCAGTTATGTTCAGTTGTTATCTGTATATGTAAAGGGACGTCTAAACGATTGGACGTGGCACAACGTGAGTGAGCAGCATGTTTTTGAAGCACACAGTTTTCTGATCAGACAGATTGGGATTTTATTTATAAAACCTGCAAAGTGTCAGGAACTAACATTAAACAAACTAAATTAAATCTGCAAAAACTCCCCCAACGCCCTTAATGGGCCAAAGGTGCACACACAATGCACGTGCCTGATTTTCACATGACTCGGTGTCAAACTCTCTAATGTAATTTAATGAGAATCAAAGCTTCAGCTCCACACAACATGAAATATGGGAATAAAACTGTATTAGACTGACATTAAATGTTTTGGTTAATTCCTTGTCTACTGCAGAGTTTGTCAGTGGAACAGTCTAAACGTGGACTGAGATGTAGGATAAAGATCAAACAAATTAATAATCTGTACAACTGATTAAATGATTGAGCACCACATCAGTGTTTTCCCACTACATATATAATCTCTAAATGATTTCTCTCTGTACAGTGCACATGTATATTACCTGTCAGCTACTAAATGCGTTTGTGGTTCAATCACTTTTCTGTCAGCAGTTTGATGACATGAGATAATCCAGATAACAATCTTAAAGGGCGGGTTATTTATAAGGAGGCGAGCCGAGGAAGGGGGCAGATGACACTGTACTGTATTTCATGACCTTGGCAGCTCATTGGTTTGACTAGCCATCCACTTCCATAACGAGAAAGTGCAGGATTTAGAGGGCTATCAGAGATTGCAATATATACCTTCTTAACACTTGGTCTGTCTGGGACTCACTCAGTCTTTGACTCTAACAAGCTGACGGCTCTGCTCGGCCAAAGTAAGACCTCTTTCTAGGACAGTTCTTCTCATGGGTTTAGTGGATGAAGTCTTGCAGCATGGAGTGTCTTGGTTGCATGTACATTCTTTGTGTGACAGCAGCTGTGAATACTTTGTCTTGTTGGTAAAGTTAGGAAGTTGTGTTTAGTTTCTTCAAATAAAAATGTCATTTGTACAAAGAGATCACCTCTTAGGTGGAAATCTTAGGTCTTTTGCAGAATATTTGGTGTTGACTCGTGAGACTGTGTGACTGTGACTGGCTGCTGCTGGCATTCAACCAAGTGTTTTACAAGGTGCCAATTAGTTTGGTCAGTTTGTAGCAATGCTACGATGCAGAATGTTCATGACTGTTGGATGTTGTGGCTGATTTTTGATTAGCATTAAATTGCTTTCATGTCCTTGTAGAGTTGCATACAGTGACATTTACTGGCTGTTGTGACCCGGTGTGT